TGCTCACCAAGGTTTGCACAGCATCCAGCTTGGCGCTCTGCAGCTCCGAGTCCATTTTCTCGATGAGAAGCGGTAAAAGGAACTGCGGGGATGGGTTTAGTCTCAGGGTCCTGGCTCCAGCTGGGGCCTCGGGCGGCTGCTGCCTGGTGCTCCCAGACACTGCTGCTCAGCCTGGTGCCCAGTGCCAGCCTGGCCCGTTAGACCCTCCTCCCACCACCGAGCAGCAATGAAGGAGCTAAGCAGATGGCACGAGGGTGCCTGAGCGCCAGAGCATGGCTGGTGCCCAGAGCTGTGTCCCAGCCCACAACAGCATGCTGCAGCCCTCCCACCCCACACAGCTCCGCACCCTCCTGTGCAGCTGCTGCCCGCAGGACCCCACTGGCGCATCTCACCTCAGCGAACTGGGGCGTGGAGGCCAGCACGGCGCGGAGGCTGACGATCAGATCCTCCCGCTGGATGCCGTGGGGGTCATTGGGGGGCTGCAACAGAAGCGCGAGGAGCCCAGGGCTCACCAGAGGCTCCTGGTGCGGTGCCTGGTCCAGCGCAGGCGCCAGGGGCGAGGCTGGGACATGCGAGACCCGCCCCTGCCTCGGGTGTTGAGACCGTCCTGACAGCTCCCAGCAGTGACCCCCTCTCGGGGAAGGGCAGGGTCTGGTTTGGGGCCGCGGCTTCGGATGGACTCGCTCACCGGGGTGAAGTCGATGGGGAAGTAACAGGACGTCACCTCAAACAGCTCCTCCACAAAGGGGCCTGCGAGAGAGAGCGGAGCCGCAAGTTGAGCACCAGCCACAGCCGCCTAGCGCGACGGAGCCGGCAGTGGGTAGCGCCGGGTGGGCGGCACCTGCCGTGACAGGGGCCCTCACCGAGCGCGTAGCCCTTGAGGATGAGGTCGCGGACGATCTGGAAGGCGACCAGCAGGTTGCGCGGGTCCTTCTCGCCGTCCATCACCTGGATGAAGCCGAAGGTGAAGTCGGTGCCGAGGCTCTTCAGCTCTGCAGGGACAGGAGCAGACACGGGGCTCGCTCGGGCCTGCTGCCTCAGCACCTCCCCCCCATCCCTCGGCCCGCACCTTCCTCCCGCGTGCGCATGAAGTTGGTGATGATGGTGTAGACCGTGTGCCGATCCAGCTGCAGCAGCGACTGTGGGGCAGAGAGGGGTCAGCGCGACCCCGACCACGTTCATGCAGGGCAGCACTCTGGCAACAGCCCGTCCCCGCACGCGCAGCGCATGCCCGGGAGCGCACGCAGAGCACAACATGTGTCGCTGTGGGCCCCCGGTGTGCACTGCTTGACGTGCTGTATCCCAGCGGCCGAAGGGGACGCGGGGGCTGCTCACCTGCACGTGCACCTCCTGGAAGATGGCCTTGAGCACCGACACGGCCAGGCCCGGGGCCAGCGCCTCGCTCAGGCTCTGGGGACAGAGCACACGTGGCTGAGGCCCCTTCCTGCCCCACGCCCCCTGGAGGGACAGGGGCGGGGCTGCCCGATGGAGGGGCTGCGCGGCAGGGACACGGGGGCGCGAGCTCACCAGCGCGTGCAAGCCGTGCAGCACGGCGGGGATCACCAGATGATGGTCCTTCAGCCGCGCCTCGAAGAACAGCACCAGGTGCGTCACTGCGGGGAGCGAGCGCCGGCGCGTCATGCCCGGCCCTGCCCCCGCGACCCCCTGCCCCCGCCCCCGCCCCG